AGCAGGACTGGCCTAGATCTGCCCCCTGATCCTCTCCCAAATAGGATTTGGGTAAAGGTGGTTTCACCACCAAAACCCTACTAGGTGTATTATTTTGACATTCCTAATAGGCCTAGTAAGGGTCCACATGACTGCGACTTTTGCTGCCAGCCATGCTGGACACTGGAAGACATTAATGACTATCACAATGCCAAAGAACTACTAGGTGATCTGCACCATCCTCAGCATCTTTCAAACATCCTCTTTTGTATGCATTAACTGATAAATTCTCTTGTCATCTGTGACGAGCTCCTTGCCTGTTGTTGTCAGATCAAATTACAATGTGCTCCTCGTATGATGTAGAGATCATAAAAAAGCTGTTAAAACATATCAGGCTTGGATTAGCAAGCTCAAAATTATTGCCATCACCTTCAAATAAGCCTGGCTTGGGAGTCGCAGCTGCCACAATTTGAGAGTTGGTTGACTAACGAGAAGTTGCGAGGTTCAAACACGAAGGAACTATTAAAGAATAGCAGAGAGGCCAAGAGTATCCAGGAGAAAGGAGACTACACATTTGTCTGTGTGTGCGGTGTGTGGCATTGAAGGCAGAGTTGTACTATGGCAATTGGTGTGGCGAAGATGTCATTGATGTCAATAACATTTGCCTAGCAATCGGATATTCGGATTTGTCAAATTGGGTGAAATCATGTGATCATGTTGATGATAAAGTGATGCAATAACTCAACTTCCACTTTCCATCCTTTCCTCCCAACCACCACCACCCATCCCTATTACCTGAGGCCATCTTTAATCTCTGGCCATCTACATGGATTCTGAGATGGCGCCTTTATGACATCTGTGTATGTTCGACAGACTTTTATTTCAGGGGAGATAATTTCTCAACATTTAGGTGTTTGTTAAATCTTCGCATCATCAGTGCCTGTGAACAAATAAAAACTTGATCCGGTATCCCAAGTCATCTATGTACAATCATCAGCTACCCAAGCTCACACAATTCTTGCATCAGTTTAGCGTGTGCATAGGCAACCAGCTAAGATATGTCATTATATGCGCTATTTTTGAGGTGTATGTTGTTAAATGGGTTTGATCTAGTGTATTTCGAGTGATTCAAATCCTCTTCCATTCCCGATTTCGGCATCAGCTGCACAACAACGGCTCTCTGTTAGATCTACATAGGCTTGGGAAGGGTGCGAGGCCTCAGAGGATGGGTATGGTGCGTCAACATTCATTGATTCTCTTGGCTGCCCTCTGATATATGTCTGTCTTTCCAGAACGCCAATAGTCGCCTGGAGAAACGACCTGTGTACAGACAGAAATCCAACACGGCGACGTTTGAGTGTTGAGTTCCTGCGCACCTTGTGTGATGGAAATGGTCGAGGCTTTGTTGTGCGTTCATAACATCCTTCCTCTATTGTAAATCAGCATTCTCACTGGAACGACAAATAGGTGCTTGGATGATCGAGAAAGGATGGTTCAGGTGAGGGCCAACGGGAAGGGCCTAGTCATGAAAAATATCTCTATTGGCTTTTCAGACAATGTACCGACCCAGCTATATACAGTAGAACCAGGGCTTTCCTGTTACATTATGTACATTGTTAATAAATGACATTTGTTGATCAATAACTATACAATCACACGAAATCTATAATGAAATACATGACCGTGTATATAGCCAAGTATGGCGCAGGCACCTTTCAGGTGAGATCAGGTAGGACATAAATGTTTGGTTATTGACCTTATACGGGGACGTCTATTTTGTACATGATGTACGGGCCGACTAGCTCAGCTGGTTAGAGCGTCGTGCTAATAACGCGAAGGTCTCGGGTTAGATCCTCACGGTGGCCACTGAATGGAGTTCCTTTTTTCTCGATCCCCAATTATGCATGTCCTTTACCTTACTCACCTCACCTAACCCCAATAACCAAGCGTCTCAACACAGGCAGGTTTCACAAGAAATAAGTAATAAGAAGCTCAAGCACAAGAACCCAAAGAAACATTACATAGGTATTCCCTTCACCTTTCTCCTGTGTCCTTAGCATAGAGGTGGGCAATAGTAGTGAACCCCCTTGGAAAA